GTATATTAATTACTCCTTATTTTCATTAATTGTTAAGAGACTCCTCCTAATATAATTTACTTTGTGTTTTGAAAACATCTACAATAAACCTTTGAAATTTTCCATACAATCAGAATTAGAATAGGAATTCTTTGAAATTTTCAAGGCATTCAGGTTTACAATAGAAATTCCAAAAGATATCTTATATGATGCATTACTTGGATCATATTTTTGGGTTGCATGTGTTTTATTTAATATGTATATTTGTTTTATACCTATTCAAATTTTAAGTTAAATATTCACAAGTAGAGCTTAAAAAGATGAAAATATAAAGAAACAGAAATAATAAATAAACAGACGTTTTAGGTTATTTGCACATTTTCAAACGTTATTTTCCCTTATTATGAGATTTTTTTGGAGTTTCAATAGTTTATTCACATTCAAAGCATATTAATTTTTTGAAAATTTTACCGAAATAAGTTTTGAATATTATTTAATTTCACTGGAGAAAAAAAAGAAAATAAAAAGGATATACTAAGGATAAATCATAAATTCATACAGAAAATAAAGAAAAATCATTATTTTTTTGAATATACAAAGGATATTAGTAATTATGTTCGGTGGTAAAAAAATAAAAAAATAAAAAAAGAATATATAATAATATATCATTCTGGTTATTATCAATCCACAATTACATGGTGCATATACAAATAAAAGAAAAAAAGAAAAGAAAATGGGAAGCTACAAAATCAAAAAATCAAAAGAGGGTAACCCATATCTTCATCTTCCACCTAATATACTCATAAACAGTTCTTCTTCTTCTTAACCCCAATTTCATTGATAATGTTGGTTTCATGGTAGATTGTTTGCTTTCACTGTTATAAAGTCTTGATCTTTTCCTTTTCCACCATTATGCATTTTTTCGCATTTTCCTAACTGATACCCCTGAAACATAAGCATTAAATGAGAAAGAACTATAAAAAAAACACCCCTGAGATTTATAACAGTGAAAGTAACTCACAACCATAATAGTGGGGAATAGATTAGTTAGGCAAGATCCGAAATTGTAACTCACAACCATAAGAAAGAGTCTCAATCCATTGAATAATCATGTACATTTTATATTCAGAACACTCTAGAGTTATACATATTGAAGTATTTCTAAATTAATAAACTTACAAATACTAACCATTGAACCAAATTTGTAAGTGGTTAAGATGTCAAAGCCATAGGTATCACAATCTACCAAGCAATATGCAGGAAGGAGAAAAATCTCAACCTAAAGCCGCAAAAACCTGTTAGGAAAAAAAATGCATAGTATCAAACAAAAGAGAATAGTTAATTAGAATCAATGTACGGAATAATTAAAGAAAAAATGACACCTTTCATGGGCTTAACAGACATAATATCCATGAGGAATTTTAGTGGTATGAACTAAGACAACTTTAATATGGCTTTTGAAATTTTCTCAAAGATTTTCACTTTTGTGTGCAAGGTTAGACCTTTAAACTGTTTCTTATAAATTCTTCCAAGACGCTAGTCGTTAGCCACCTACTGCCAATCTATTATATGAACCATTAAAGGTAGCTCTTTTAGGACTAACAAAACAAAGGGTCAGTGACAAAGGATAAAAAAAACAGTAAGGAAAGCAGGCCATGTAAAGGGAAATAAAAAATGAGATAGATGCAGTAATAAATGAAGACGAATGACCTTGGTTCTCAAAGGGTGTTGTTGGAGCTGTTTCAAGTGTCTGACTCCTTTGCTAAAGGTCCCATCTTACTTCCTCTTTGACCGGAAAGAGGTAAACGAGTCTGTGACTAATGTTTAAGAAAATGAGAAATATAATGAGAGTGAATGAGGAGAAAGGAAAAGGATGGGGTTTGGGTGAAGTATCGGAGGTGAGAAAAGCGCGAGGGAAAATAAAGATGTCATCTTAGAATTTGATATTTATAAGAGTAATTGAGAGAGGGGAGGAACTGAAAAGTTTCCCACCTATAAAGTTTAAGTTTTGAATTTGAATAATTCCCACCTATTCAGTTCAAATTTCGAATTTGAATTTAACAATTAATAGGCTTAACCATTTCTCATGCAGAAAGTAGTGAGATATTAATTATTACTGTTGGCCACCAAATAATTTGAATTTAAAAATTGAATTATTTTGAAATTTATTTTTGAACTAATTTATTAAAATGAAGAAAAAAATATTAAAAGAGGAAACATTTCAAATTCTTTTAAGTGTGAACTAAAAGCTCAGAATGAAGAAAAGAGCAACACGTCAGCAAAGTTTTCAAAGTTTGGTTCTCCTTTCTATATATTAAGATTATGCAAATTTAATATTCACACTAACATTAATTTTAAGAAACTTTGATCTGAGTGAATGTACTAGTGTTTTGATATCAAACTTATGAGCATGGTATGGCTAATTTATATATAGTTCACATTTACTAATATATTTTTTTAAATAGTTGAAAAACTTAATGACTACAATATATCTCAAAGAATCCCATTGTCTTGTGGACAAGATAACAATGTCACGGTTAAATTTGTGAATATTAATTTTGTAATTATGATAAGTTGGAATAAAATTTTGGATTTGGCTCTTGTTCCTGCGTAAGCGATAATTTTAGTCTTTGCCTTTTGTAAGTTTGGTAGTATTTGGGACATCAACACTGTTGAACATAGGCCTACCATGAAAAATGGCTATATCTTCATATGTCTATATCTTCTCCAACTCATCTCTTAATGGCTACTCTTTGACCATGCATTTGGTGTTAAGAGTTTTCTGAACTGATAATCCCTCTTTTTCTTTTTTAATCTGGGTGACCCAATAACATATCCTTATTTAGAAAAAATACACTCATTAATTTGACTATATTTTTTTATTGGAATATTATTTCTTATGTTACATGGGACAATTTTGTCTTATGCACACATAAAAAAGTTATTGAAATCCACTCGTTTTCTTTTGCTCTCTTTTCCTTAGTGGCTTTCATTCACTTTTTTGTGTTACATAAAATAATTTTGTCTCATATAACATGAGAAATTATATTCCTTTTTTTATTAAAATAATAAAAAAAACAATGAAAAACGCATCATTGATCTCTTCATTGTCATCCATACTAAGGCCAGTGAATTTCTGAGTGTATTTTCTAACATAGATTCGAAGATGAGGTGGGAAGAATTTCTCAAACATGGGATAGACAAACATGATGCTAGCCATAATTAAGCCTAGTTGTCACCATATTTTCCCAATCCCCATCATCCCTTGCACTCTTTAGTAATATTTTCTAAGAAATTTTTTGGGTTATTATTCTCTCTGTTTTTTGTGTTTAACCCCACTCAAGGGATGTAGTACTTGTAAGGAGTAAAATGGAGTGTTTTGTTCTTCTTTTCTTGTCCCTCACGCAAGAATACTGAACTTGCAAGTACCAAGTAAGCCCCGTTTGTTTTCGTGAGAGTTTCCTATTGACGACATTTTACTCATATTGACTCCGTATGTTTTGGGGTTTGCATTCAGCTGTCATTACGGACCATTCAAATGCTTAAGGACCGTCAGATTTTCATATATGATTCACCATTTTCATAATTTCATTGTACCATTTTGGCATCACCTTGGCCAAGAAAATTTTCCCATTTATATATTGGTTTCGATTTTTTCATACGGTAGGAGAAAATTTTCTCATGTTATAGATACATCTTATATGGGACTCACATCTATTAAAAAAATAAAAAAGCAACAAAAAATATTGTACGAAAATCGAAAGATCACTAGTAGAAGAAAACAATTATCCTACGACATGAGAAAATGTTTTCCCTTATATATTTCACTCTCATTGACTTCTATTCAACTATAAAAACAAACAAACGTATAAAGTCCAAAAAACAAAGGTTATTTCCTTCTTTCTTCTTTTATATTATCTTCTCTTTGTGTGGTCCGCAGCGAAAATTTTAAATGCACTCCATGAATTTTTAATAATTTAAAGTTGTCACAGAAAAATGAAAATGAATTCTATTATTTTAATGGGGATTACTTTTTTTTATGTAGTAGGAGAAAAATTCTCTCATATTAAGGAGCTCATTTTTAGTACAATAGTACTATGTACTACTATCATTCATCTTTTTACACCTATATTAAGATAATGTTTCTCTCTCTTTCATGTCATCAGTCACTATTGGTTTGGTTTTTATAGGAGGGATGTATGAAAAAATGGGTGGAACGGGAGTATCGTAGAAATTTTTCATATTAAAATATAAATAAAGCGGGACTCACTAATTTTAAAAAAAAAGTACATTTTTTAATGTGAGTGCAACATGAAATATCAATTTCATGCAATATGAAAGTATAATTTTCCTTTAATAATAGTGCATGATTGAAAATCATGTTCTTGAAACTATTATATTTTGAAGGTTAATTGATTTCTGATTAAAGAAAAAGAGAGTTAACCATGTTTGAATGTCCCTTTACAAAGAACCCTTTTATATTAAGCACGAACCTCTTAATGTAGAGTGGAATGAGATGGTGAACTACATTCGTGGGGTGACGAAAGGATGGTCAAGTGGTTTATAGTAATTTGGAGTTATAAAGGCATCATTGCTAGGATCATACACAAAGTTTTCTATCTTGAAATCTCTATTTTCTTCTCCAAAAGTTATAGCATCGGTATTATTAGTGCCTAATGCAATGGAACTATTACCAATAGCAGTTGCACCCCAAAAAATAAAATAGAACACATCATTAGAGACAACAAGCACAACCATAAATCATCAATTAATCATGAAGAAGAATAGCATAAAGAGAAATGCCAAAACGAGAAAAAATATATAAGAGTCAAAAAAGAACATATAAAAGTGTGTGTATGTAGAAAATAATTTTATACATAATTCACATGGGCCCCACGCACTTTTATGTATACGTTGAATATAATTTTATCTCCTACGACATGCACGAGAAATATCGAAAAAATAATTATAAAAAAGGATTTGTTTTGCCTCATAGTTAATAAAAAGGTAAACATGAGCTTTGAAACGTGAATTCCATTTATTACTTTGATAACAAAGGAAAAGCAATTAAAACAACATTACAGCAGCATAATTCAACTATGATTTTATAAAAGAGATGTAAAGCATGGATATAATCATCGAAATTAATATTCCTAATTAAAATTATTGGATGGTACCATTCTCTTTCACTTCTTCCTTGGATTTTCCATTCTCTTTCACCTCTTCCTTAGATTTTCCATTAGCTTTCACCACTTCCTCTTGACCCATCTGTTCTTTTGCTTTCTCAGCTTTCAACTGTGCTTCTTCATCCTCAGCCTTTTTCTTTGCTTCCTCCTCTGCCTTTTTCTTGGCTTCCTCTTTGGCCTTTTCAAGAGAATCAATCAGATTCTTCAAGCAAGTCTCTGAATCTTCAATAATTGACTTAGGCATCAGATTCTCAGCAACATCAGCAGGTGTCATGTTGGTCTCACCCAACAACTTCTCAATAGTTGGAAACAAACTGTGTGATTCAACATCCAAGTAGTTATTGGCAAGCACCTTGAAAGCTTCATAGCAACAATAGGACAATTCAATGTGCTTGTCCATCCTTCCTCTCCTAATGAGAGCAGGATCAAGTTTCTCCACAAAGTTGGTTGTGAAAATTATGATCCTCTCTCCTCCACAAGCTGACCAAATCCCATCAATAAAATTCAATAACCCAGATAGAGTTACCTTACTTCCCTTATTCTCTTCTTCTTCATCTTTCTTAATAGGATTTTTTGGTGCCTCACCATCATCCTCATCTTTTTCCTTTTTCTTCTTCCTTTGGCCAGTAAGATCAAGAGAGCAATCAATGTCTTCAATCACTATAATTGATTTACTTGATGTTTCAATCAACAGCTTTCTTAGATCAGTGTTTTCCTTCACTGCTGTTAATTCAAGATCATACACATCATAGTTCATGAAATTAGCCATGGCAGCTATCATAGTAGACTTACCTGTCCCTGGTGGACCATACAACAGATAACCACGTTTCCAAGCCTTCCCAATCTTAGCATAGTACTCTTTTCCATTTTTGAACTTAACAAGATCATTTATAATCTCTTCCTTCTTCTTTGGATCCATAGCTAGTGTTTCAAACCTTGCAGGGTGCTCAAATGTTATGTGGCTCCACTTTGTACTCTTGTATCCATGCCAATGTTTGCTTGGATTGTTGGTGTAAAGCTTCAGTTGCCTGTTCTTCAATGCAATATTTTTCCCTTCTTCCAACACATGTTGGATATAAGACCCTGTAATGATGTCACGGTAACGTTTGTGGAAGGTGAGGGTTAAGTACCTCTTAACATCTGAAGTAGGGTACAATGAAAATGACTGTGTTGAAAGTGTGAAGGAGTTTGCATTCCACCAAACTTTGACCCCTTGAAACTCATCATTGATCTCTTCATTGTCATCCATGCTAAGCACAAGTGGAGTCTGGCTATCCTTGACCACTTCAGCTTTAAGCCTTTTGGCACTTTGAGAAGAGTTTGCACTGAGGTATGTTTGGATGGCAGAATATGCTTCACTTCTCTTGAGGCGTTCACCAGAGAACTCAGGGAATTTGATTTGGATGTAAGGGTACATAAGGCCTGTGAATTTCTGAGTGTATTTTGATACATAGATTCGAAGATGAGGTGGGAAGAATTTCTCAAACATGGCATAGACAAACATGATGCTAGCCGTAATTGAGCCTAGTTGTGACCATATTTGCCCAATCCCCATCATCCCTTGCACTCACCAGTACTATTTTCTAAGAAACTTTTTGGGTTATTATTCTCTCTCTTTTCTGTGTTTAACCCCACTCAAGTGATGTAGTATTTATAAGTAGTAAAATGGAGTGTTTTGGTCGTCTTTTCTTGCCCCTCACGCAAGTTTATTAAGAATACTGAACTGGCAAGTACCAAGTAAGCACCGTTTGTTTTCGTGAGAGTTTCCTGTTGACGACATTTTACTCATATTGACTCCGTATGTTTTGGGGTTTGCATTCAGCCGTCATTACTGACCATTCAAATGCTTCAAGGGCCGTCAGATTTTCATGAAAATTTCACCATTTTCATTGTACCATTTTGGCATCACCTTGGCCAAGAAAAATTTCCCACTAATATATTTCACTCTCATTGACTTATATTTAACTATAAAAACAAGGAAACGTATGTAGTCCAAAAAACAAAGGTTAAGTTTCCTTCTTTCTTTTTTTATATTACCTTCTCTTTATAGTCGGCAGCGGAATTTTTAAATACACTCCTTGTATTTTTAATAATTTAAAGTTGATACAGAAAAATGAAAATGAATTCTACTATTTTAATAATAATGCATGATGCAGGATTGAAAAATACGTTCCTTGAAACTATTATATTTTAAAGGTTAATTAATTTTTAATTAAAGAAAAAGAGAGTTAACCAACCATGTTTGAATGTCCCTTTACAAAGAACCCTTTTTGCCCTCAACCTCTTCATGAACTGTTGCATTCTTGTTGACATTAATGGGAGTAGGACCCGGAATTTGTTCTGATTCATTAATGTCAGTAAATGAATTGGTCCCAACAAATGAAGGAGCATCATCATGTATATAGAACATCTCTGCAAGAAAACAAGCAAAACAACTATCAACTAATTTACTCCAGAATCTTTTTTTTTGTGCAGTAACATCTATTAGATTTTTTTATTTTTTATTTTTTTTGAATTACAAGAGAAAGAAAGCAAAAACTAACTACAAATCATCCTAGGGAATGAAACCCCTATTAGATAGACTTTTTACCTTGACATTAGAGAGGTCTATATTGTGCTCCTCATCAAGAAAGCTTATAAATTCTTTGAAGTTATCTTCTATTTGGGGATAGTGGGTGATGTATGACCAAATAGCCTGCAATGTTTATATAACACTTTGTGTAAGCGAAATTGCTTTTGCAAAAGTGGTAGCTCTATGGTTCTCTTTGCCCTGCCTTCTTTGATGGAAAAAAAATATAAATATTGTAGGTTATTGTGAATTTTTTTCTAAATCTATTTACCAATATACTTGAGTTGCTTACTTACTTTCAATGTTTGTTCATATGATATATGAAAACTATAATAGCCCATCTTAATTATTTAGTAAATCAAGTGTAATTAATTAATTAAGCATGTTTTACTGAGTGAAATTAAGTATAATGCTTAATTAAATGAATCTGAGTCACTTTGGAGTTAAAAAGTGTACTCAGTGAAAATTAAGGGGTATAAATGGGTACTGGAAAAAGTACCCAAAATATAAAAATAAAAATAAAAATATTCCTAGAATAATATTCCAGACTTTTGAGTAAAGTTTGGTAATTATTGGAGTTGAATAGATAGACGAACCAATACCCGCTTAAGGCCACTTAACCAATGTTAAATGACTAAAAGCCAAAAGAGCCCCAATTCCCACCCCATTTCGTCGAGCAACCAGAGAAGGAGAAAGAAGGAGAAAGAAGAAGAAGGAGAAAGAAGGAAGAGAAAAGGGAGAGAGCAAATCTCAACCAAATTAATCCGTTCAAAAGCCTAAACCACTTAGATTCTTCCCCTCTTTTATAATCCTAGCTTTGTTTTGAGTGGGAGTTATTGGGGAGAGAGATATCAACCCTCCAAAATTCGCCCCTTTTGGTGAGAGTTGGGGTTTTGGGGTGATTCTCTCCATTGAAGCTTGGGGAGCGCTCATTGCATCGTTGTGTGGTCATTGGTGGTAAGCTTCCACTACTTTGCACACTAAATCCCTAGATTTTTGCATGAGTTAGGGTTTGTGAATAGTGTATTAGGGTTTTCATAGAAATGTGATTAAATTGGCTATGCTCTAAGAAGTTTGAGACTTAGTAGATGTTATGAAAAATGCTAGAAATGAGCTTAGTAGTCAAATGAGTAGGATTGGAAAATTGCAAGAATATGACACTTGGTTATGAGTTTTCTTGCATTGTTGAACCATTGTTTGGTTGGTCATTGATTGTATCCTTGTGTTGTCTAGGATTGAGGCAATTGGATCAACCTTAATTGACCAACCTTTGGAGCAAGCAATGGAGATGGATTAGTCCTTGAAATATGTAAGTTCATCCTTATGTTGTGGTATGAATAGGATAGCTTGGAGTGATGATGATGAGTTATCCTTGAAAGCAATATGTTAATTGCATTACCCTTGTATAGGTGTATGTTTGGAAAAGTTGATTGTTGAAACTGTTGGTGAAGAACAAAGGTCGACTGAAGCATTGAGGTAAGCCTTCGGACCTTGGGTGTAATTCCCTTGATTGTTCCACCAAGCCCTGAAAGGGTAGTGGTGATTATAGTGTATATAAATGCAATGAAATAGTGTAATGCTTTGTTATACGTATGTGTATGCATTTGGTGTGGCATAGGATGGTGTTTCCCTATGTGGTATGTTGCATGACGATGCGTAAATCATACTTGGTAGTTAGCTGGCCAGTAGGACTATTTGCATCTGAGTTTCCTTAGGATAGCTTGAGAGCTCGAGGGATTTCTCCTGGAGATGTATTGCACTTTGCATAGATATGTATTTACTGCATTATTATTGTTATTGCTATTACACTGATATGGAACTGTGGGGTGGAGAGATGCTCCAAGGACCCCTGGTTTACTGGATATATTCGTATATCTCACCCCGTGTTGTGGGGACCCCCTTTCAGGTAAGGATGCTGCAGGAGCCTCTGGTGGCAAGTGGCCATATCTGGATTATGCATGAAATGTGGCATTTCTTTTGAGATTATACATGTTGTTTTGTAGCTCACATGTATAGAATTGTAATGAATAGGCAATGCTAGATTTATGATTTGTATATTGGAATGGACTTAGCCTATGCTCATGCCTTTGGTCATCTCTTTTGTTGATGGGAGCCAAGGGAATGATCATAGTGTTTTGTAAGCTAAGTTCCATGATTTGTAATAGATATGTATTGTAAATGATGCCTACTTGAAATTCAATATATGCATGCTTGTTATGTATTGAGTTATTGAATTGGTTGGGCTGAGAATCAATTCGGTACCTTTTGTTTAAATTGGGAAACGATGAGAAAACAAAGGTTATGCTGCCCAAATTCTAGCTAAATCTCAGGAGGAGAGGTTGGATGAGTGCTAGGATTTAGTTTTGGGGCATGGACAATTGGGGTTTGGAATGGGGATGCATCTTCCCCTAGACTTGGACTTGAAGAAAGTGGGAATTGGAATTCCCTGGCAGCGCGCTTCAGCGCCCAGGAGCGCGCTCAAGCGCCCTGCTGCCCCTGTGAGTGCCAATGCATTCGGCCTCCTCGCGCTGGGGCGCCCAAGTGGGGGCTGAAGCGCCCAGGATTGCGCGCTGGAGCGCCCAGGGTTGCGCGCTTGAGCGCCCTGGTCCGCGCTTGAGCGCCCTTAGCCACTGAAGGAGGAGATGCTTCTGTCTTTGTGCGCTAAAACGTCCCAATAGGAGCTTAAGCGCTCAGGAAAGCGCGCTTGAGCGCCTTGGTTCGCGCTTAAGCGCCCATTTACACTGAAGCACCTGATGCTTCCTGCCTCCGTGCGCTTAAGCGCCCAGAGGGAGGCTTTAGCGCCCGATAGCGCGCGCTTGAGCGCCCGGTAGCACGCTGAAGCGCGCGGGGCCTGTGACCAACACTCTCTTGTGTTGCTTCAAATTGTCCTAACTTGGGCTAAAGTGCTCCGATTTGAGCGCGGTTTGAAGTCACGCATAGCTAATGAAGAGATCTACAATATAGCAGAAGTTGTGAAATAAATAAGAAGTAAATTAATGGTTTAAAAATAGAATAAGAACATGATGTTAAGCTTAGTTTATCTGATTCCGCAAGGTAATACGGTTATGATCACGAAATTGGGTATTATAAATTCGGCATGTTTTAAAATGAAAAATTTATCCGGATTTTAATTGAACCCATGTGATTGTAACTGCGCTTAATATCATAATGTGATGTTAACAAACCGGTTCTAGAACGGGGTGTTACAAAAACTAATGCTGAAAAAAATAATTCAAAGGTTTGACCTAATTCAATAATTAAGGCATATATTCATATTATGGTTGATGAGGTCACCAAAGAAAATATAAATGGTGGTTTTCACTCTAGAATATGGAATTCCATAAAGGATAAACTGAATTCCATAACTAATCGGTCTTTTAATGTCAAGCAAATAAAGCAAAAGTTCAATAGACTATGATCTAAGCATCGTGAGTTCTCCTTACTCTTGCAACACACTGGATTTGGTTGGGATGCAGAAAAAAACTATAACACCTCGTATGCAGCCGGTGGATTAACATACAAATAGTATTTAAAGTGCAGCTTGCAATAATTAATCGCGAAAGCAAAATACTATTGATATAATTAAAAAAAGTTAATCGTCATAGTGGATTAACTTTTTCTTTTAATAACAATCCTTATGTAATTGCAATGCTAAAATAAAACCTGAAATACCTCGTACTCATAAATAACAATTCAAAAGCATCCATAACTCATGGTACTACAATATAAATACTCAAATCAACAATTAAACAGATTATTTAATAGTGGCATGGACAACCCCTATGATCACCACAAATAATAACATAATCCATCAATTCTAGTCACATTAGAGTCTCATCATGGCAAAATAAATAATCATAATATGCATGACTTATAACAATAATGAAATCTCTATGCTGGCCTCTTGCCTCTATCAATGTCCGTCTCACGAACGTCATCTTCTGAAAAATGTGCCCCAGAAGGGGTGAGATTTCTAACAAAATCTCAGTAAGACAAGGGATCCTCCACCCCAAGCTCATTTACAGGTATAACCTTAGTTATAAAACAATTCAGGGAGTATATACAGAAGGAGATTAATAACAAGATAAGGGGAATGGCTATACCGATCCATTTATAGCAGTAAACAATGCAGTATATAAAATGAGCATGCCATGTGTAACACCCCGTTCTAGAACCGGTTTGTTAACATCGCATTATGATATTAAGTGCAGTTACAATCACGTTGGTTCAATTAGAAATTCGGATAAATTTTTCTTTTTGAACAAAGCTGAATTTAAAATGCCCAACTGTATGATCATAACCATATTACGTTGCGAAACAAAATAAACTAAGCTTAACATCATATTATTATTTGGTTCGAGTTCACTACAAAACTCTCTTCACCTTTTATTAAATTGGAATTCCTTTACTTACTATATAGTTCTCATCTCACACTAGGTTATAGATCTCTCTGTTGGCTTCGAGTGGGTTAAAACCGCGCTCAAATCGGAGCTCTGTAGCTCAAGTTATGCCAATTTTACTAAAATAAGTTTTTTGCTGATTTTTCGAATTGAGCGTTTTGGCGCCCAACTCAGCGTTTAAACGCCCAGAGGCAGAAAGATTTGCCTTCTCCAGGTCTCCAGAGCGTTTTGGCGCCCAACCTGAGCGTTAAAACGCCCACTTGAGCGTTTTAGCGCCCATTTGCGCGTTAAAACGTCCAAGGGCAGAGGCATTTCCTCCATTTTACGAACTTAGAGCATTTTAGCGCCTGTTTCCGTGCTAAAATGCCCTCCAGCTGGGCAAAACATGCCCTCCCCTGTTTTCATGGGATACCATGGGAGATTTCGTCCCCTTTTCACCATTCTCTTAACACCTAATATACATTATATAATCCTTTCAATAAATGATTCTTAGTTCTTGCAAGGTACATATACATCAAAAGAAACATGCACACCCTTTCATCATATACATATATCCAATAATTACAACATTGCATCGTTGCAACATGTCTTAATTACAAATCATGAGACTTAGCTACAAAACACTATGATCAACCCCTTAGCTCTCATCAACAAATGAGGTACCAAAAGAGATGAGCATAGGCTAAGTCCATCAAAATAGAAGATGACATACATATAGCAATTGGTTTTCAAATGTAAATCCCATACATGGTATTACTACATGTCATGTATAATCCAAAAGAATGCAACATCTTTATGCATCTACTAATCCCAATATGGCCACTTGCCACAGGAGGCTCCTGCAGCATCTTTACCTAAAAGGGGGTCCCCACCACACGGGGTGAGATATACGAATATATCACAGTAAACCAGGGGTCCTTGGAGCATCTCTCCACCCCATAGTTCAATCACAGTGTAATAGCAATAACAATAAATAATGCAATAAACACATATCTATGCAGTGTGTAACAAACATCTCCAGGAGAAATCCCTCGAGCTCTCAAGCTGTCCTAATGATACTCAGATGCAAATAGTCCTACTGGCAAGCTAAACTACTAAGTATGAATTACGCATCGTCATGCAACATACCAACATAGGGAAACACCATCCTATGCCACACCAAATGCATACACATACATATAACAAAACATTAAACTATTTCATTGCATTTATAACACTATCACAACCACTACCCATTCAGGGCTTGGTGGAACAATCAAGGGAATCACGCCCAAGGTCCGAAGGCTTACCTCAAAGCTTCAGTTCAACCTTTGTTCACCAACAAGTTTTGCCACCAATTACAATAATCAACTTCACACACAACCACCTACACAATGTGTACTGCAATCAAAACATTGCATTCAAGAGTATCTTATAATCATCAACCAAACTATCCAATTCATGCCACAACAAAAGCATGGACTCACCTATTCCAATGAGCTAATCAAGCTCCAAAGCTTCCTCCAATGGTTGGTCACTCAAGGTTGGTCCAATTGCCTCAATCCTAGACATAACATGGACACAATCAATATCCAACCAAACCAAACCATTGATTACTAATGCAAGAAAGTCCAAAATCAAGTATATAATCTTGCAATTTTCAAAGTATAATCAATTGACTATCTAAGCTCATTTTCATCAATTAAATATCATTCCTAGATTTTTCACAACATACACTAAGTCTCAATCCTCCTAGAACATAGCCAATCCACTCACATTATCATAAAACCCTAAACATTATTCATCATCTTCCCCAATCATACATTCTCCATGAAAATAGAGTTCTAGGAGTAGAATCTTACCACCAATAGTTGTACAATCAAAGAGTGATGGTTTCTAAAGCTTCCAAGAGGTGAAATGCTCCCAAACTCCCTTCAACCTTCAAAGGGACGAATTTTTGGGAAGAAAAATCCCACACCACAAAGCTTCCCACTCCAAACTAAGTTAGGGCTATGAAAGAGGAGGAGATTTGGAGTGGTTTAGGCTTTGGAATCAAGGAAAATAGTTAAGGATTGAAAGATCTAGGGTTAGGGGGCTTCAAGGTTGCCTTCTCCCTTTCTCTCTTCTCCTTGGCTCGACGGATATGTGGGGGGTGAAATGGGTTCACTTGTTTTCTAGTCACTTAACATAGGTTAAGTGAAATCAAGCGGGTATTAGCTCATCTATCTATTCAACTCCATTCACCACCAAACCTCACCCAAAGGTTGGAATATTTTTCTAGGAATATTTCCACTTCTATTTTTATATTTAGGTACTTTTTCCTACACTCATTTATACCCCATAAATTTCACTGAGTACACTTTTTACTTCAAAAGTGACCCATATTCACTTAATTAGGCCCTATACTTATTTTCACTCACAATATATGCTTAATTATTTAATCACATGTAATTTACTAATTAATTAGGCTAGAGCTATTATTTACAGGTATAACATAAGTTCTAAAACAGTTCAGGGAGTATATACATAAGCAGATTAATAACAAGATAAGAGGAATGGCTATACCGAGCCATTTATAGCAGTAAACAATACAATATAAAAATTGAGCATGCCATGCAATATATCAAATGAGTGTGCAATGTTGCATATATCCATGTCATGTATGTGTGCATCCTACTGACCAGAGAATAAAATGTAGGCATTACGTACATCTACAACCCACAATAC